GGAGCAGGATGTAATAGAAAGAAGTGGTTAATAGCGGCCACCAAGTTGTAAACAATGCGGGTAGCTGCTATATGTAGCCACCATGCAACAAATTTAGAAGAAATGCGCTGCAATGTACAGGTGTGTGTGCCAATATTTGTGTGTGTGCGTGCGTGTGTGATTATTTTGTTTTAAACATTTTGGTGAAAATGGGGGTTAACTGCAATAATCTATGATTGCATGTTAGTTACCTGTACTAATAACTATGCAGGGACTGACACACACCCACACATACACGCAAACATGAATACCAACACATTTATGTATATTTTGTGCTCAGCTTAGCAGAAATGAAAGCTAACAGCTTTTTCAAGCACCGCTAAGTCAGTGGCGGTAATGTTGCCTAGACGAGATTCATTTTCCACCACAAGCGCGAACTCTTGTGTATGTGTGTGTTTATGCATAGGTGAATTGGTGCAAAATATACAAATATTAATATGAAGACAATAACTTGTGGCGCAACAAGAAGTAGAAATAAGAAAAAACGTTGCTTTGAAGCAATAACACCCTTCACATATACAAAAGATTCCTTAGGAAAATTTGATTTTGATCGTTAAGTATGTATGACAGCTATATGCTATGGTGATCCGATCTGAACAATTTCTTCGGAAATTGCATCATTATCTTAGCCAATAATCCATCACAAATTTCGTGAAGAGTGCTCGTCAAATGGAAAAGTTTTCCGATCGTTCAGCTTGTATGGCAGCTATATGCTGTAGCGGTCCGATTTCTGCTATTTCGACAAATGAGCAGCTTCTTGATAAGAAAAGGAGGAGTGCAATATTTCTGATTGATATCTCAAAAAGTTAGGACTAGTTCGTATATACAGACGGACGGACAGGCAGAAGGACAGACAGACGAACATGTCGAAATCGACTCACCTCGTCAAGCTGATCATTTATATATATACTTTATAGCATCTTTGACGTTTCGTTTTGGGTATTACAAACATCGTGGCAATCTTGTCTGTTTCCGGTATAAATCTGCACCGCAATGAGTAAAGAAACGCTAAAACTTCGCTTGCAGCAGCCTGGCTGGCAGTAAAGAGAGCTTAAGCGAAATTCTTTAGCAATTACTGCCTAATTATCTTTTAGTCGTAATTTTGGGGTAAGCCACATACTGATTAGCGATTAGCACGTGTAATATGAGAGCTGAGAATTTGAAGCAAGTAGCGGGTAAAAAGTTCAGATTGTCTCTCTTTTCAGTTGTGTTTTGCCATTGGATGCTTCAAAATATCGGCTGCACCATGGACACAATTGAACCAATTGCATTAAGAAACCTGCAAGACTGACCGATATATGTAGCATAAACTCAGCGAAAAGATTCCCTCCGATTTTAAATAATAAAGCTCCGAGAGCTTTATTGCAAAATTTATTGCTTCTAATGTGTTACTTTAGTGAGCCCAGCTAGTAGTTTTCAAATTAATTGGAGGGTGGGCGTGGTTATCATACGATATTTTTCATTTTTACAGTGTATGAGAAAGAGACAGAAGACTGGTTTTCAGCAAATTTCGATAAATACTATATTTAATATAGTATAAATTTATTATAATGGCTTAGTATTAGAGGGCAGAAAGCGCACTTTTTATACTATTGCAACATGTTGCTACAGAGTATAATAATTTTGTTCACTTAACTGTTGTTTGTATCACCTAAACATAATCGAGTGAGATATAGGGTTGTATATAATATAATGAAAGCATTTGATTCTTGCAAGTTGTTAGAGTATATAATGTTCGGTTACACCTGAACTTAGCGCTTCCTTACTTGTCTTAACATACAAGGGTATAAAATATATTGGTCTAGATTTTGATCGTTCAGTTTGTATGATAGCTATATGCTATAGAGGTCCGATTTGAACAATTTTTCCGCAGATTATACCGTTGCTTTAGAAAATAATTCACGTCAAACTTCGTGAAAATATCTTGTCAAAAAACAAAAGTTTTCCATACAAGAACGTGATTCCCATCGTTCAGGTTATATAGCAGCTATATGTTTTAATGATCCGATATCGGCGAAAGAAAGGAAGGAAAACGCATGGCGAAATTTCGGATAGAAATTTTAGAAACTAAGGGACTAGTTCGCGCACATAGCTATAGTAGCTAAATCGACTCAGCTCGTCACGCTGATCATTTATATTCTTATTTTATAGGACTTCTGACGCTTCTTTCCGCTTATTGAAAACTTCGTGGCAAACTTAATATACTCTGTTCTGGAAGCAATGATTTTAACAACATATTATTCTACTTAATAATGTTTTTCGCGCTACTTTCATCAGCCTTTTCTTAATTAATTTTCCCTTCGCTAAATATTTTCTGTTTTTCTGTTCTACCTTTCTTCTTACTTCGCCTTCTTCGTTCGATTCTACCACTCACACTTGAATAAGTGAATGATGTCTGAGCTTCACCATTATCTTTTTGCAGCTCATCACTTCCATCAGCAGATTTTTAATTAAAACTCCACACCCTGTTGCTACTGTTTCTGCAACACTTACTGCAACGGTTGTAATTATTATGTTGTCAAGAATACGCGTATATGGTACACATATCAACCGCAATGGACACTCAAAGCCTGAGTGATGTACACACGGGCTGTACGGCGAGCGTGTGACTAAATGCGGCGAACTGCTGCAATTGACAGTTTGGAGATTAAATTAAAAATTTCTTGGGATAAAATGGAAGTGCAAAATTCAAGATACTGTCTAGGGTTCGTCTTGTTTAATTAGGGTATAAGACAAACTAGGAAAATGCTATGCTATGCTATGTATGTCTTCAGAAGTTCACAACTCCTTCGAAAACGTTTGTGTGACAATATTTTACCGTTTGCCTAAGCGTTTTCAAAAGGCAGAGAATTAAGGGAGTATTACGTCCATAAGTTTAGCATGGACAGCAGTCGTAAGGCGTCACCATTAAGATAGGATAACTTATTGGTAGTACTTGGTGACTATATCCCTGCTTATCAGCGATTCACAGTCTTCTTCTTTCATATTTCGACCATTACTTTTAATCATATCTCGCTTAATTTTTTAACCCTTGAAAAAGTTCTTTCACACACCGACGAAGAATAAAGATAAGGGAAAAGACGTAGTAAGCTTTTGAGTATACACTCCGACAGCAAAGCGGCAATACTAGCGCTGAGCTCGATAACTGTGCATTCAAAGCTAGTTAAGGAGTGTTTGTCCGTATTAGAAATAGCATTTAGCTTTATCATCATTAGAATCGTTTGGGTGCCCAGTCATAGTGGAATTGTTGGTAACTGCATAACCGATGAGCTAGCCAAAACGGTACCCTTGCCACGCTCACATTGAAAGGAAACGAGTTGGATCTCTATTTGCATCTTGCACGGGTGTGGTGGAACATTCCATGCATTTTTCGTCCATTGTCTTGTATTTGCAGGACTGAGGTTGAATCATTTCCGCAGTCTTACCGACGGCAAACCAGGAGACATAACCGAATCTGACATTAGCTGTCTCAACCAATTTGTGATACGCTTAAAGCGCTGTGTCGATTTTTGAGGGTATTTTGATTAATTATATAGGAGTTTAAGGTGCCATAACGGACAATTTAAGCTGTCCAAGTGAGATCCCTGTTAGGATCGACCTCGTAACCTAACCTAACTTGTATAGAAATTTTCGTGTTAACAGACATTTCAAAGTTTCTGTGAGTAATCCACTCTTTTGTAGTAATTGTTGGCACCGTTCCCCGTTTAAATATTTCACGCTCTTCCAATTCACATATTTTAAAGTAAAAAGTTCGTTCGGTCAAGTAAAAAGTCCGTTCGGTTTTTATCTAAGAGATGGCGTTATTGTCCATAGACTAGTGTTACGTGTCGCATCATGTCATACTGTACGGCGGTGAAGACGTGTTTATTCTCGCTAAAAGTTTGTCTTTGACAGTTTTTCGATTGATTTACTCAGTTTGTTGTGAGCGCTCGTCAAAGATGGACACCAACAAAGAGAAAATTCGCTATATTTTACAATTCTTCTTCGATCAAGGCGAAAAAGCAGCCAAAGCGGTTGAAAAAATTAATTTAGTTTATGGGCCCGATACTGTAAACGAACGTGTAGCACAAAAGTGATTTGCTAGGTTCCGTTCCAGTAATTTCGATGTCAGAAATGTACCACGTGTCGGGCGGCCTGTCGTCGAAAATTGCGATAAAATTATGGAAATATAGTATTTAATTGCTGAGGAACTAAAGATAAGCCAGAAAACCTTTGGGAACCATTTGCATAACCTTGGATTCAAAAAGGAGCTCGATGTTTGGGTGTCACACGAACTAACGCAAAAAACATGATGGACCGAATTTCCATCTGCAAATCGCTGCAGAATCGCAACAAAATCGACCCGTTTCTGAAGCGGATTGTGACTGGCGATGAAAAATGGGTCACTTATGACAACATCGAGTGCAAACGGACGTGGTCAAAACTCGGGAAGCGGCCCAGATGGTGGCCAAGACCGGATTGACGGCCAGGAAGGTTTTGCTGTGAACAATCTACTGCGAGCTGCTCCCCTATGGCCAAACGCTAAATTCGGCCCACTACTGCCAACAACTGGACCGCTTGAAGGCAGCACTCATCCAGAAGAGGCCATCTTTGATCAACAGAGGCCGAATTGTGTTCCATCAGGGCAACGCCAGGCCACACACGTCTTTGGTGACTAGCCAGAAGCTCGGGTAGGAGGTTCTAATGCACCCGCCTTATAGTCCGGACCTGGCACCAAGTGATTACCATCTTTTCCTGTCTAGCGAACGCGCCTAATGGTGAGAAGTCGGCCTCAAGAGAGGCCTGTGAAAATTGGCTCTCCGAGTTTTTTGCCAATAGGGACGCAACCTTACGAGAGGGGTATAATGAAGTTGGCATCTCGTTGTCAACAAGTTTGTGAACAAAACGGCACATATTTGACTTAAATCGGACAAATTCACACAAAGTTATCATCTTTTGAAAAATCAATAAAAAACCGAACGAACTTTTTACTTTACTTAATATATTATAGTCGCGCTCGCGGATAGTAAAACTAAAAGTCTACTTATGAATACCTTGAGATGACCACATAATTTCTTTCGTTTCAAGCTTAAAATTATACATTAATGCTTAAAATTTATTCTAGATCAATGAGAATCTGATTCTTATTTTTCAATTTACAAACTCCAGTTTAGGCTTCGGCATTATTCTTGGACATAAACGTGCTAACTTTGTGCTGTTTTCCAAGTTATAGTAGATTATCTCCAAAATTAATACGGCCGAGCTAAGTAGCATAGCAGCTACTAAAAATAGGATGGCCGGTAAGAAATGCTGTAGATCTACTTCGACCTCATAATTTTGACTTAGGCTACAATCCATTTGTGGTAACTGCCATTGATTTTCGTTATGTTGCAACAACCCGGAGGTATGAAATTTCGCAATCGTTGTTGTAAAGTATTCGCGAAATGGTGAACTTTTCGTTATACCAATACCAATACGATATGGTGGAATCAACGGTACATCTTGTAAATCACAGAATTCCTTTTCGCTTAGTAAGTCTTTAAAAATATTACGAAATCAATTTTTCAGTAATTCATTTTAAAGTTAAATTATATTGACAATTCAAAGAATACCTTTTAGTATGTAGTACATACGATTAGCTGACACATGAAAGGCATAGCCACCCTTTTTTATGCGCTCAGCGCCCTCTTCGATTGATATAATATTCCTCTCGCGATTTTTGCAAACACGCTCTTTGTAAATTGCGACCCCTAGCGGCACTGTGGTCTTTTCAAAGACTTCAATATTATACGGTATATTTTCTATACCAATTTCGAGGCTGCTATTATATAGTGCTTTCAAATTGGTTATAGTACGTGGTGAGACGGAAAGCAGTGAGCCCACAATGAAAGCGCCATAAAACTGTTGCAACAACAAGCTAAACAGGCAAACAGCGAAGATAAGCGTACGCGTTGAGGTGGCGGTGAATGCGTCATTAGCGGGTCCTTGCATGAAAAATGCTTCTAGAATAGAGAAAATCGCATAATCGAAACGCGTCTGAAAATGTGGATCTTTATTTATGAAAAAACGATTTTCATGATGCAAATGTAGTTGCAATAATAATGTGGTTAAAACAATAATCGCTATAACTGTGTACCAGACCTCTTCGACAAATGGCTGAAAGAAGATATTACGAATGTCATTGCGACGCGGATGACGGAAAATGAAGAATACACTGCAAACATATTCAAGTTGAAAGTAAAGTGTTTTTATTATGGTATGGTGGTATATGGAGCCAACTTACAATTCCGTATGTACCGCTATTGTGTAATCTATTAAATGTACCCTATTTGGTACAAAACGCATGGGACATAGTGAAAATTCCGCTTCACCAGAGAGTAGTAAGTTCATAACACCATCCCAGCTGCCATTCGGCGAATGTGCACCCCAAGTTTCTCTAAGTATTGGTTGAAAGCTGAAAATATAGAGAGTGCTGTTATAGATGTATGTCTCTAGAAATGTTTCTAATTGCTGAGGCCTATTTTCAGATACTCACAGGTCTTTATTTCTAATCTCGAATATAAGTGAAAAGATGCTGTTATTATATAATATATAGATAATGAATATTCACATTTTATTCGTGTTCGAACAATACCCTAAAACTTCAAAATCCCCTAAGTTTCTGAAAATGGTCATTTTAACTGCCCACCCTGAACATTTTTCAGATTTTTTTTTTTGTTAAGTAGGTAGCACTATCCTTAATAACTAGGCCAAAAATTAGCGAGATCTATCAACAGAAGAGTTTTGCGATTTTTACAAGGGAAAATAATATTGAACAAAGAATTTGCTTCAAATTTTGTGTTTCGAACCAAATTTCGTGGGCGGAATCGTTGGGAATGTTATGAAAGGCTTATGGTGAATTAATTCTATCGAAAACCCAGAGCTACGACTGGTACAAAGCCTTTAAGGATGGTCGAGAAATCATCGAAGACATGTCTCGTTCCGGTTGTCCTTCGACGTCTACCACTAACGATAACATCAAAAAAGTGAAGGAAATCGTGCTCGAAAATCATCATGCGAGTGTTAGAAAGATAACACATAAGCTACGTTTAATCTTGACCGATAATTTGGGTTGAAAAGAGCTGAATTTTTTGCAAAAAGACCGCACCGATCAACCACCGTGTTCCCCGGATTTGGCCCCATGCGACTTTTTTTTGTTTCCGAAACTCAAGTTACCACTCCTTAGTACTAGTTAGAAAAAAATTTGGATTGAAACTTTGGTAGGTTAAGATATGCAAACTTTGATAAGTCAAGACGCAGATCTTGTATTCAGAATAAATTAGATCTACGAAATACTTTCAGTGTATGTATAGTAATATAATGGCTTCAATTTTTTACCTTACGTCAAATACAGGTTCCATTAACTTAATCAGTTGGTAGGTTTTCCTTTGCATGGGGTCGAAATTTTTATTGTACAAAGAGTTCAAATAGTCATAATCCTCCATACCGGCGGGTTTTTCACGTATCTAAAGAGATCAATGTTTTTTCCAAAGACTCTCTCTTTTAAAAATTAAGTTTTTTAAGTATACGCACCACTATGCCACCTACTAATTGTAAACCTTTGAAATTGCGCCGCCTGTTGACGAAGGTTTGATGGAACCGCAAATTAAGTTTAAGACCTTTAGCGGCGCTCCAATAACCTTTCGGTTCAATCTCCAACCAATCTTTTTGTATTTTGTAAATGTCGAAAAGTTGTATTGTATTACTGTAATCGGAAAAATTAGTTGTTTAATAAGTCATAATCGAAATAAAGATTAATTGTCAAATGACTAAGTTTGCAACAGGCAAACAGAAAATATGTCTTCACAGTCTTCTCTGACATTTTTACGAAAATGTGCAAATAGGAAAAATGCTTTCGACGTCTTCTTAGACATTTTTATGAAAATGCTCTCTGGTTTTAAGGATTCCAGAAAGTGGCCATAACTCCTAATAAAATAAAACAAAACTGTTATTTCACTTAGCTAAAATTTCAAGCGCTTTGATCTCATGCATTTCTAGCTCTTGTTCTATCGCTGAATACGATTATTTTCCTTTTGATCTGTTAGTAACACTTTAATGTTGTATGGAATATGAATTAAAATAATTCTCACTCTCGTTTTCTCGATCTATTTTATTTAGCTACGCTTTGGTAGCATCGTCTCATCTCTTTGCCGAGAACATGAGAGAAATCACTGAGATGTTGCCAAAATTTGTCTCTAATAGTGAAAAGAAAAACCTTTGGACTACGGTTGTGAATGCTAGTACTTTGCGATGGAGTCACTCTCCCACCATAAACCCTTAGTGGTAGTCGTGTCTAACCCTCTAGCTTTCTTCACCTTTTCTATACTTGAAACCCATGAATAAAATCTGAAATTTTGGACAGGTTTTTCTTCTAACGAAAATGCTACTGTTTCTGACAAGTGGGAAACGCCGATATCGGACCACTATATCATATAGCTGCCATACAAACTGAACGCTTGAAATTTAGTCCTTGTTTGAAGAACTGTTTTATTTGAAGAGATATTTGCAAGAAATTTGACATGGATTATTGTTGAAAGCATCGGTACAATCTCCGAGGAAACTGTTCAGATAGGATCATCGTAGCCTACAGCTGCCATACAAACTGAACTATCGAAATTAAGCCCTTGTATCGAAAACTTTTACATTTGACGAGATATCTTCAAAAAATTTGGCATGGATTATTGCTAAAGTGGTGTAACCTCCGATGAAATTTTTCAGATCGGACCACAAACTGACCGGTCATAAATTCTTGTATGGAGTCTTTTGTATTTGTGAAGGGTATTATAGCTTCGGTGTAACCAAAGTTAACGTTTAATATTGTTTTGTTTTTATCACTAAGCACTTTTTCGAGAGTGTTAAATAATTATATTGCACACATATGTCAACTATTGAATAATCTATTTATAATTATATATTTCACGCTCACTTCGCATCCAATCGAACGCCGACTGTTATATCCGCGCTTATATTCACTGGCAGTGGCGTCATCACTCGACGCACATTCGCCAGCGCTGTCGCCACTGTACGTTGCTTGGACATTATGAACCAGACGCGAGAACTGTTGAAACGCGAGCCCACATCAACGCGCACTCTATACCCACCAGCATCGATGGTGTCAACACTAATCACATTTGAGCCCAAAACATACTGTTGCAACAAGACATCCTCCAGCTGTGCCACATAGATACCAACGCGCGGTGAGTCATGATAGAAGAGTCTTTGAAACTCAGTAGAGTTTTCAACGGATTTCGCTTGATGGACATCATAAAACTGAAGTGATGCCACATTAAGCAGTGCACGTAATGCATTATCCTTTTGCAAACCCGCCTGCTGTTGTGTTTGGTCGGTGACGCTGTTGTACGCGATAATGGCATGTTGTATATGTTGTTGTTTTAAAATGTCAGCAAAGGCGCGAAATTCATAGGTATTCGCGGCAGTTAAAACACCAAGATTCCACTTGGATAAAAGCAATATGAGAATTGTGATGAGTTGAATATATCCGCATGGCAATGCCGTCGCGAATGTTTGCCGCCGGGCTGTAGTAGTGCCATGTATGACAGCCATTGCACTGATTTATCGTTGGCGCGTCTGACAAGTGCGTAGCAAAATTGACGCTTTTATATCACATTACGTCGGATAATTGGCAAATGGAGGGGAGGCAATTTGAGTCACTGACTGAAACACCGTTTGCCCTAGAAAAAGACTATTGGTCAATTAGGCAAAAAAAAAAACACAGGCTAACAAGCATCTACACAGTCCCTTTAAGCAAGCTACCTCCCTTTAAAATATAATATATTTTGCTGCATTATTTAGCACCATTGATTTTGCATTTCATTGCAACAAAATTCAATATTTACTGCTAGTATGCTTGCAACTTCAATTTGTAACAGCACCATTTACAACAAAAATCTGTTTATTGAAACACCTGCCATTGCCACATGCCTTCACGTACATAACGGCACCTTAATTATCGCATTAACGTTAATCAGCGTCGATTTGTCACAGGTGTCACAACAGTTACTCAAACCACTTAGCTGCTGCTTTTTTTATGGGCAAGAAATTGCAACTGTTGTTGGTTTTAGAATTGCAATTACAGCTGTTGCAACAAATGTTTGCAAAAAGCGTAATTATCGCCATTATTGTCAATGTCATCATCAACTTAATTCCACTTTTGTCGCATTTAAGGCACGTACCACGCACATAGCGGTAATGGCTGCTCGAGGGAAATTTGAAATTTAAAAAGCTGAAGACATATTTCTGAACACCATTTTAATACAGTTTTTTCAGTGATATACACATACGCAAAAATAAATATTATTATTATTTTAGCACAAATAAGCACTTAAATGATCAATCAATTGTATACCCGATTGAGTACCACTAATATAGTTAAGAATAAGTTAGAAAGCTGGGAAATTACAGATATTTATGGATATATGGATAAAGGGGGTGATAGGCCAATTTGTTTTGAAAAGTTCCCAGTAAAGACACAATTTTGGTTGCAATACCAATTTTTCTTGAAGAAGTAAAGGTAATTTTTAAGACACGTCGTTTTCAAGAAGAAATAAATCGCAACAGCGTGAGATAGTGCGTTCTCCCTTGACCGTTACATTATGGCTCACTTAATTTTTAAAGAAATATGGTGACAGTGACTTTTTGAGGCTGTAACGGCGGCTCAACAATGGCTTGTGGATTATCATCAATCCAATGGCGACAGTTTTGCGTATTAACTTACCCAATCAACCATAGTGAGGTACGTCGCAGAACAAAATTTTCTTGTGTAATTCGGGTTTGGTGGTCATCTCGTTTTGAGTTCACTAATTAAACATGCTTCACAGCAACAATAGCGTCTTCGGTGCGCACTCTGCGGCAACTCTGAGCATGCGCATTGGTCAATAAAGTAAACGTGATACGAAATCGATCCACGGTTGCTTGAATTATCGACTCTGCTGGACGATTATGTGGAATATTGGACGCAGCGCGCAATGAATTTTGTGAATAACACGTAGCTAGATTTTTTGCTTTCAGCCAGATAATTGCCTGCCAAGTTAAATCTATATGTAATTACGCTAACAAAAAATTTTGTGTTCCCCGTTTGGACTGTGTTGTCTTGACATATGGTATATGGATAAAATTTATACTGTTGGAAAGGCGAAGACGTGCAGAAGTGCACAAGTATGCGAGTATAGGTGAGAACAGCAACGCTTGCGCTAACAACAATTTTGGCAACTGCAATCATTTCAGCGGCTTTATCACAATATTTGTGAGTTGATTATTTATTACTTAAATTGTAACATATTTATGCTCCCACCTAATTCAAAAACATAAGCCACATTTAATTCAAATTACAGCTAGAAGCGTTAAGTAAATTGCTAAAATGCCGAAACTCGATATTTCATGGTTTGAAGAGTGGTTCTAAAATATAATTGGTTTGTGCTAGCATAAATTTCATTTTGACTTATCACAAAATTTATAAAATTTCTTTAAATGCAAAAGAGCGATGGTGAATCTTTACTTTGCTCCCTATGCTGAAATGTATCTCTAATTCTTAAAATTAAAAAATTTTAACGTTGTTGCTTAGACAGAAAGGCTATCGTCAAAAATCCTTTACACATTTAAGCACCACCCTTACATTTATGAGTATTTCAACGCTTGAGTTGTTGCAACTATTTACCCAAATTATGTTGTTTCTTCGAAGGCAAAACCATTTAATTAAAATTTCGAATATTATGACCTGCTGCCAAATTATCGGTTGTGTATATTTGCTTTTGTTGCGAGCAATGTTGGCTATTGCCATTTATTAACTTTAAGACATATAGGTTTTCAAAATCAGTTTGTTGCATGTAAAATATACATACGTTTAGTATGCGAGTTGTAGTGAATATAGCAAGCATTGACTAACCACAATTCCGTCTGCTGTTATAATTGCAGTGGCTTCATCAATCATCTTCAGTTCCACTCTAATTTTCAGGTCAATATATACATTTTGCTCTCATCAAAAGCAATTGTTGCAAGTATTCTTGTGTTGGCAAAATTAAATTTTCGTGAGCTTGAAACCCAATTATGAATATACCTATATGTTACAAAGTTATATAGCTATTTCCTGGTACAAGTACATTCAAATATAATTACAAATCTTTTATAGCGATTAATTTCGATTTCTGTTATGAATTTATATGGCTAATGACAATTGTCATTTATATTTGCCATTTTAATATAGCCTGATCTTAGGCAATGATCTGTGCCAAAGTTCCTGAAGATATCTTGTCAAATAACACCCTGACATATTATATATTGTACTATACATCATTGTAATACTTTGAGTGGTAGACACTAAGACATCTCAACGTATTTAAGAAAATCTACAAGAAATAAAACTAAGACTCCTTTAAATTATTTGCTAAGACTTAAATATTTCCTCCAAGAATTTTCCATATGCAAAATTAACTTTTTTATATAAATATACTGCATGCATGTTCGTTCTTACATGATACCAGACTTGTTGCCATTACGAAAATGAAATACTCAGCTGCCATCTGAAGATGGAAATGAAAGCTCAAATGCTCTCAACCATAACATGCACATTACAATTACGTAATATGCATATAGAAAACAACTGTCAGCTGACACTCTAGTTGAATAGGTTGCTGGATTATTATTTGCCGCAACACATGACTGACATTATGTGAGTCGCATTTTCTAAATAATTTCCTGTCCATCGGTATATACATATGTGCTAATATAAATTGTTATGCTAGTCAATTCAGTCACAATTATTAAGAAATAGGGCATATTAAGCTTACTTAGGTGGAAAACATCAAAAATAATAATCATAAAAATACTAATAAAGTGGAGTTGAGTACAATAATGTTCTTAATAGATTTATTGTATTATATTTCCAATATATATCTAATAAATTATATAATATAAGGGGTTATATACAGTTAGAAGGAAAAATTGAATTTTCCAGAAGTTTTTCTGAGAAAACTTTTAAATTTATTGATCCAAAAATTTATACACATATTATGTTAAATTTTAACTATATTTAAGACTTAGTGCTAGTAAAAATATGTATTTAGAAAAGAGCTACAGCTGATCTCCGGAGCTTCTCTCAAAAAAGACGTTTTGCGGTGATCACTATATCTCTGCACTGGATCTTCTAAAAACCCAAACAGATTTCGTTAAAATAATGTTATGTCTAGTAATGAATCGAAGGAATAAGCAAAATAAAATTTTTTGACAAAATAGCGGTTTCTCAAAACAAAAATCAATTTTTCACCGAAATTTCGGCCTTAAATTGTTTATAAAAACAACACTTTTTATCGGAGAGAAAAAATCTTCAACTAATTAGTAAAAATTATATTTAAAAATATATATTATAATATATATTTGAAAAAATCGATTTTTTGAAAATACTAACTGTATGTAACCCCATAAATAAAGCGAATAAAATCGTTTGGATTTGTCTTTCAAACAGCTGTTTCATTGATTGCTAGAGGCTAGCGTCTACTAAGGCATATGTCCTACTATTCACAGATATTACCGGTTTATTATTACAACTACACTAATCAGTATTAAGTATTAGTACATTGAAATAATAATACTTTTTATCTACACTAGACATGTTAGCGATGTCAAATTAAAGTAATTAAAAGTAGCAAATAATAGACATAAATATTGTATGCAAAGCAGCGCAAATAATAAAAATATGAAGGGTTAATGAGTTGTCAGCCATTAGAGAAATAGCGCAAAGTCATAGAAGATAAATACAAAAGAGATATACATTAATTTATATACATATGTACATACTCGCATTCATATAAAACTATATATTATATACATATGTATACTTATGGGTACTAAAACTGATATATATTATATATACATATGTTAGTACATGCGTGGGTGTGCGACTTAAAAATATAATGTTGAACCGCAAAAAGTGAGCAAGCTGTTAGAGAATTGCGACAACAATCAGACAGCGCTGGTGAACATGAGCATAAAGTAAGAGACCACAATGCACTTTGTACCCGATAACGCTACACACTGCTTCGACAAGCTAACGCCATACTGCCAGTGCGTTGTCAGACTTTTACGTTGTAGCACCAGCCACCAGCCATCAGCTGGAGGAGGAGCAGGAGCAGTAGCATGGTGGCGGCAGTTAACTTGCTATGCCCGCGGGCGCACTTAACGTTGCAGCAAAATGAGTGACAACAATTTAATGCTTGGCAATTAGTGTTACCCACACATATGAGCTCGAATGCACACACTCACACATAATCACATACACACATGCATGATAATGCGCTGCAGAGTGGTAATAAAATGTATAGATTGTAGGTAAGTAGAACAAGAGGCGCGGAATGCAGACTAAGTTGCATGATTTGGCGGATGCGGATGCGGATGTTGGCGCACACAGGCAACATCTTTTATATGCGATATTTTTGCTCGGGTTCTAAGTTTTGTTGTTTTGCTATAGAGTTGTGATTTCATACACACCGCTGTACATATCACTCTATGTATGTATGTATGTATGCATATATGTATGTATAAATACAAATTTGCATGTATGCATGTATGCTCTCGTGCAACTGTGTTTTGTTGTTGTTATTGCAGTGTTTTTGTAACATTGTTATTTGGTTTATCGTTAGCACTACAAGCACGTACGCATACACCACACCAATTCCGCTCG